ACGCTGTGGGTGTCTCTTAGCCACATCTAGACATACGTGGGTGTCTCTTAGTCACATCTAGACATACGTGGGTGTCTCTTAGCCACATCTAGACATGCGTGGGTGTCTCTTAGTCACATCTAGACATGCTTGGGTGTCTCTTAGTCACATCTAGACATGCGTGGGTGTCTCTCAGCCACATCTAGATATGCGTGGGTGTCTCTTAGTCACATCTAGACATGCGTTGGTGTCTCTTAGTCACATCTAGACATGTGTGGGTGTCTCTTAGTCATATCTAGACATGTGTGGGTGTCTCTTAGTCACATCTATACATGCGTTGGTGTCTCTTAGTCACATTTAGACATGCGTTGGTGTCTCTTAGTCACATCTAGACATGTGTGGTGTCTCTTAGTCACATCTAGACATGTGTGGGTGTCTCTTAGTCAGATCTAGACATGCGTGGGTGTCTCTTAGTCACATCTATACATGCGTTGGTGTCTATTAGTCACATTTAGACATGCGTTGGTGTCTCTTAGTCACATCTAGACATGTGTGGGTGTCTCTTAGTCACATCTCGACATGTGTGGGTGTCTCTTAGTCACATCTAGACATGCGTGGGTGTCTCTTAGTCACATCTAGACATGCGTGGGTGTCTCTTAGTCACATCTAGACATGCGTGGGTGTCTCTTAGTCACATATAGACATGTGTGGGTGTCTCTTAGTCACATCTATACATGCGTGGGTGTCTCTTAGTCACATCTAGACACGCTGCGAGTGTCTCTTAATCACATCTAGACATGCGTGGGTGTCTCTTAGTCACATCTAGACATGCGTGGGTGTCTCTTAGTCACATCTCGACATGTGTGGGTGTCTCTTAGTCACATCTAGACATGCGTTGGTGTCTCTTAGTCACATCTAGACATGTGTGGGTGTCTCTTAGTCACATCTCGACATGTGTGGGTGTCTCTTAGTCACATCTAGACATGCGTGGGTGTCTCTTAGTCACATCTAGACATGCGTGGGTGTCTCTTAGTCACATCTAGACATGCGTGGGTGTCTCTTAGTCACATATAGACATGTGTGGGTGTCTCTTAGTCACATCTATACATGCGTGGGTGTCTCTTAGTCACATCTAGACACGCTGCGAGTGTCTCTTAATCACATCTAGACATGCGTGGGTGTCTCTTAGTCACATCTAGACATGCGTGGGTGTCTCTCAGTCACATCTAGACATGCGTGGGTGTCTCTTAGTCACATCTAGACATGCGTGGGTGTCTCTTAGCCACATCTAGACATGCGTGCATGTCTCTTAGTCACATCTAGACGTGCGTGGGTGTCTCTTAGCCACATCTAGACATGCGTGGGTGTCTCTTAGCCACATCTAGACACGCTGTGGGTGTCTCTTAGCCACATCTAGACATGCGTGGGTGTCTCTTAGTTACATATAGACATGTGTGGGTGTCTCTTAGTCACATCTAGACATGCGTGCGTGTCTCTTAGTCACATCTAGACATGCGTGGGTGTCTCTTAGTCACATCTAGACATGCGTGGGTGTCTCTCAGTCACATCTAGACATGCGTGGGTGTCTCTTAGTCACATCTAGACATGCGTCGGTGTCTCTTAGTCACATCTAGACATACGTGGGTGTCTCTTAGCCACATCTAGACATGCGTGGGTGTCTCTTAGTCACATCTAGACATGCGTGGGTGTCTCTTAGCCACATCTAGACACGCTGTGGGTGTCTCTTAGCCACATCTAGACATACGTGGGTGTCTCTTAGTCACATCTAGACATGCGTGGGTGTCTCTTAGTCACATCTAGACATACGTGGGTGTCTCTTAGCCACATCTAGACATGCGTGGGTGTCTCTTAGTCACATCTAGACATCCGTGGGTGTCTCTCAGCCACATCTAGATATGCGTGGGTGTCTCTTAGTCACATCTAGACATACGTGGGTGTCTCTTAGCCACATCTAGACATGCGTGGGTGTCTCTCAGCCACATCTAGATATGCGTGGGTGTCTCTTAGTCACATCTAGGCATGCGTTGGTGTCTCTTAGTCACATCTAGACATGTGTGGGTGTCTCTTAGTCATATCTAGACATGTGTGGGTGTCTCTTAGTCACATCTATACATGCGTTGGTGTCTCTTAGTCACATTTAGACATGCGTTGGTGTCTCTTAGTCACATCTAGACATGTGTGGGTGTCTCTTAGTCACATCTAGACATGTGTGGGTGTCTCTTAGTAAGATCTAGACATGCGTGGGTGTCTCTTAGTCACATCTATACATGCGTTGGTGTCTCTTAGTCACATTTAGACATGCGTTGGTGTCTCTTAGTCACATCTAGACATGTGTGGGTGTCTCTTAGTCACATCTAGACATGTGTGGGTGTCTCTTAGTCACATCTAGACATGCGTGGGTGTCTCTTAGTCACATCTAGACATGCGTGGGTGTCTCTTAGTCACATCTAGACATGCGTGGGTGTCTCTTAGTCACATATAGACATGTGTGGGTGTCTCTTAGTCACATCTATACATGCGTGGGTGTCTCTTAGTCACATCTAGACACGCTGTGAGTGTCTCTTAATCACATCTAGACATGCGTGGGTGTCTCTTAGTCATATCTAGACATGCGTGGGTGTCTCTCAGTCACATCTAGACATGCGTGGGTGTCTCTTAGTCACATCTAGACATCCGTGGGTGTCTCTTAGCCACATCTAGACATGCGTGCATGTCTCTTAGTCACATCTAGACATGCGTGGGTGTCTCTTAGCCACATCTAGACATGCGTGGGTGTCTCTTAGCCACATCTAGACACGCTGTGGGTGTCTCTTAGCCACATCTAGACATGCGTGGGTGTCTCTTAGTTACATATAGACATGTGTGGGTGTCTCTTAGTCACATCTATACATGCGTGGGTGTCTCTTAGTCAGATCTAGACACGCTGTGAGTGTCTCTTAATCACATCTAGACATGCGTGGGTGTCTCTTAGTCACATCTAGACATGCGTGGGTGTCTCTCAGTCACATCTAGACATGCGTGGGTGTCTCTTAGTCACATCTAGACATGCGTGGGTGTCTCTTAGTCACATCTAGACATACGTGGGTGTCTCTTAGCCACATCTAGACATGCGTGGGTGTCTCTTAGTCACATCTAGACATGCGTGGGTGTCTCTTAGCCACATCTATACATTCGTGGTTGTCTCTCAGCCACATCTAGATATGCGTGGGTGTTTCTTAGTCACATCTAGACATGCGTGGGTGTCTCTTAGTCACATCTAGACATGCGTTGGTGTCTCTTAGTGACATCTAGACATAGGTGGGTGTCTCTTAGTCACATCTAGACATGCGTGGGTGTCTCTTAGTCACATCTAGACATGCGGTGGTGTATCTTAGTGACATCTAGACTTGCGTGGGTGTCTCTTAGTCACATCTAGACATGCGTGGGTGTCTCTTAGTCACATCTCGACATGCGTGGGTGTCTCTTAGTCACATCTAGACATGCGTGGGTGTCTCTTAGTCACATCTAGACATGCGTGTGTGTCTCTTAGTCACATCTAGACATGCGTTGGTGTCTCTTAGTCACATCTAGACATGCGTGGGTGTCTCTTAATCACATCTAGACATGCGTGGGTGTCTCTTAGTCACATCTAGACATGCGTGGGTGTCTCTTAGTCACATCTCGACATGCGTGGGTGTCTCTTAGTCACATCTAGACATGCGTGGGTGTCTCTTAGTCACATCTAGACATGCGTGGGTGTCTCTTAGTCACATCTAGACATGCGTGGGTGTCTCTCAGCCACATCTAGACATGCGTGGGTGTCTCTTAGTCACATCTAGACATGTGTGCAAGTGTCCGACACCCCGAGCGGCTGTGCCCGCTGCCCCACGAACACCCAACGGGTTGAGATGCTCAAGACGAGATGCGCGTGACATTCAAACACTGTAATGCGTGGTTGTTAGAGATGCCTGTAAAGAGGTACGCGATATGAAATTATAAAAAAAAATTGGGTTTACCCTCACCGCACCCCTTTGCCTTACTGTCCGTGTGTGTGGAGCATCACACTGTACCAATTCAATAATAATAACAACGAGTTAGGGTAATTGAATAGCAATGCACCAAACAGCAGCGTCATACTTGCTTAGCGACGTTTGCCCTGTTTTGGTCTCACCTGTACATTGTTGTTGTTGTTGTGATTGTGTGTGTAGCGTGTGGGTGTGCGTAGCGGTTAGCGCGCTGCCCAAAGAACCAGGTGAGCCGAGTTGGATTCCTGCTCATCGCCAACAGCAGTGACGATTATCAAATGAGTACCTGGTGCGATTATGCAAAATATCGCCACTTGGGAGACAAAGGCGGCCAGGCGCGGTGCTGGCCACCCGCTCCCCCCCCCCCCCCCCGTGTATTGTGCCGGCCTTCATAGGTGCTCGGTAACAGCGTTTGACCGAGCAGTCTGTTACAGGCTTTACGGGGTATTAGTGTGTTCGTTTGCATGTGAGTGCAGGTAGGTGTGTGCACGTGTCTTGGTACGAGTGTGCGCGTGTATGTGTGCGTGTATTGCTTCAAGTGGAGTCACACAAGTTCAATTCCTACACCAGCACAGCACCCATCAGCTATTAAATTCCGAACAAGGCCTGAAACGCCCAAAACACATTGCCACCAATAAAAAATATATGTAAATATGTATATTTTTTATTTTACCAGGCAAGTCCCACTGAGCTACGTAGCTCTTTTACAGCAGCGACCTGGCCACAAATGATAGCTCAACCAAGTGGCTCGTCACGTGGACATTTGCAACAGCAAAAAAGCTACGAACGCACGTCTCTAAATGTGGAGCGAAAAACCGAAAGTACCCGGAGAAAAAATCCATGCGAGCACGGGGAGCAGACGCCAACTTCCAAATATACAGGCGTCGTCAGGTTCGGGATCGAACCCACGATCTCCTGCATACCCGGACCGGTAGTTAACATCTCGCAACCGTGGTGCCCACCTGACTCCCCCCCCACTCCCCACCACCACCACAGTTTGAGATCCGGCAGCTGCGAGCACACCTGGCGCGGCAGGAGAGCCTGGCGGGTGCCGAGTCGGGGGAGGGCAAGTCGACACCCACTCACCTGGCCGACGCCGTCACCATGGCGCCCGGCTCCGAGGCGGACGACGAGGACGAGGATGAGGGCATCCTCGACATGCGGCGCCAGCGCTCGCTTCGCCGCAAAGGTCGGTGGCGGGGGGGGGGTGCATGCGGGTGCGTGCGTGGGTGTGTGTGAGTTGGTGTGCGTGGGTGGGTGTGGGTGGGTGTGTGCGTGGGTGTGTGTGAGTTGGTGTGCGTGGGTGGGTGTGTACGTGGTTGGGTGTGTGTGTGGGTGGGTGTGTGCGTGGGTTGGTGTGCGTGGGTGGGTGTGTGCGTGGGTGGGTGTGTGCGTGGGTGGGTGTGTGCGTGGGTGGGTGTGAGTTGGTGTGCGTGGGTGTGTGTGTGCGTGGTTGGGTGTGTGTGTGGGTGGGTGTGTGCGTGGGTGTGTGTGAGTTGGTGTGCGTGGGTGGGTGTGGGTGGGTGTGTGCGTGGGTGGGTGTGGGTGGGTGTGTGCATGGGTGTGTGTGAGTTGGTGTGCGTGGGTGGGTGTGGGTGGATGTGTGCGTGGGTGGGTGTGTGCGTGGGTGGGTGTGGGTGGGTGTGTGCGTGGGTGTGTGTGAGTTGGTGTGCGTGGGTGGGTGTGTGCGTGGTTGGGTGTGTGTGTGTGGGTGGGTGTGTGCGTGGGTGGGTGTGTGGGAGTGGGTGTTGGTGGGTGTGTGCGTGGGTGGGTGTGTGTGTAAGTGGGTGTGTGTGTGTGGAGGAAGTGACCCCCTGTGAGTGGCTGGCTGAGGTGCCATCTGTTGAGGATGTACTGAAGGCGATCCGGAGTCTGAGACCAGGAAAGGCACCGGGCAGAGATGATCTCCCAAGCGAAATGCTGAGGGAGGGTGGCGTTTGTGCACAGACTGCCCTATATGACATCATAACGACAGTCTGGACCACTGGACGGGTTCCACAGGATTGGAAGGATGCCCTGCTGGTCCCCCTCTTTAAGAAGGGGGACCGCACAGACTGTAACAACTACAGGGGCATTTCACTCCTCAGTGTGCCGGGAAAGGTCCTGGCAAGGATTATTCAACATCGCCTTGCCAGGCACGCTGAGGAGAGGCTTGCGGAGCCCCAATGCGGTTTCAAGAAAGGGCGGTCCTGCACAGATGCCATATTTTCTGTCCGTCTGCTACAGCAGAGGTGTAGGGAATTCCAGCAAGACCTACATCTCTGGTTTATTGACCTGGTCAAGGCCGATGATACCATCAGTATGCCTGGGCTCTGGGTTGTTCTTCGTGCTTTTGGAGTCCCTGACCCTCTGCTAACGATCATTAAGGACCTTCATGATGGTGAGCCGGCCCGGGTAAAATTACGTGGCCGGGAGTCAGAGCCATTCCCTGTACACCTTGGGGTGAGACAGGGATGTCCTCTGGCTCCCACATTATTTAACATCTATTTTGACCATTTAGTTCGTAAAGCCTTCAATAGCTGTACCGGGGGAATCTCCATTTGGTACAGATAAAATGGGAGGCTGATCGATGCCCGGGTGTGGTCAAGGAATGGCTCCCTATTGCTCAACCACGTTATGTATGCCGATGATTTGGTAATAGCTGCTCATTCAGAGGAGGAGTTGGAGACGCTGGTGCTGAGACTGGAGCGTGCCACTAAGAGATGGGGCCTTACCATCAGCCCCACCAAAACTAAGCAGCTGCCTTGGTATTTTGTACCATCGGACACTCCACCCCCACAACTCCCAATCGGTGATGGGGCAGTTGTTGAGAGAGTGGAGAGTTTCCCATACCTGGACAGTGTGCTTATGACCGGCTCCAGTTTAACAGCAGAGGTCTCACTCCGAATCAGTCGAGCGGCAATATCTTTTCATCGGTTGTGTAACGCTGTGTGGAAGCTACCTGGTCTGTCGCTTCGCACTAAGCTTCAGGTCTTCTCGGCCACGGTCATTCCCTCCCTTCTCTACGCTTGTGAAACGTGGACCCCCCTAATGGAACATCTTCGCCGGTTAGAAACATTTAGGCTAGCCTGCCTACGATCCATCCTGGGTTGAACCAGGCTGGATTGTGTGAGGAGCTCACAAATCCTTGAAAGATCTGGGCAAGGTCCCATCGGTGAGCTTCTCCGGCAGGCAAGGCTGCATTGGCTGGGTCATGTAGCCCGCATGCCCAGCCACCCCATGCCGAAACAGCTTTTGTTCGGCCGGATCGAGGGGGCTAAACGGGCGCGGCACAGGCTAGAGAAGAGCTGGAGTGATGTGGTACAGGAGGACGTGGAGCTGAGTGGACTTGCCGTTGACTGGTACCAGCGTTGTCAAGATCGGCCTCTGTGGAGGAGGCTCATGAAGGACGCTACTGGGCAGTTGGAGGCAGTCGCCCTCCAACAACAACGGAGGGCGGAGGAGCGACGCTCACAACAACGAGCGGAGTGCCGGGTGGCTAAAGCACAGCAGGTTGGCACAGTAGGGGGCAGAGGTGGTGCATCAGCCAGTCATCTCAGTTATCTTCATCAGTCGACCCGTGGCACTTGGGTCTGCCCCGTGACCTCCTGCGGGCGTTCGACACTTGACGTGGCCTCAAGGTGCACATGGCCTGGCACAAGCGCCGTGGTGATGTCACCGCCACTTAGTGGTCGAATGGCGGTTGTTGTTGTTATGGCGGTTGTGGGTGTGTGTGGGTGGGTGTGTGTGCGTTTGCTGTGTGTGTGTGGGTGCATGAGTGGGTGTGTGCGTGGTTAGGTGTGTGTGTGAGTTGCTGTGCGTGGGTGGGGGTGTGCGTGGGTGTGTGCGTGGTTGGGTGTGTGAGTTGGTGTGCGTGGGTGGGTGTGTGCGTGGGTGGGTGTGTGCGTGGGTGTGGGGGTGGGTGTGTGTGTGAGTTGGTGTGCGTGGGTGGGTGTGTGCATGGGTTGGTGTGTGTGTGGGTGCGTGAGTGGGTGTGGGGGCGAGCTGACGCGCATCTGTGTGTGGGGGCGGTGGCACTGCCGTTCTGGTGAAGAATTTACGGCAGCTCAGACGGAGGAAGTTGAAATCCTCCTGCCTGCAGTCATCTCCATGCGGGGAGGGGTGGCGAGAGGCTCGTGGGTACGGGCCAACAGAAGCTCACAGAGAGGCCCCCTGTGAGCTTCTGTTGGCGATGGCCGCCCCACCTTGATAGTTGGCGATGGGTGACGGCATCCGTGTGCGGGGCTGGTGGCATGAGGCGGAGGGGGGGGCATGGTGGGGGAGATGTTGGGCCCAAGCGTGGTCCGGGGGGGGGGGGGGGGGAGAAGGGGGCACCCGGACGTCCTTGCAAGCGAACATCATTATCTTATCTTATAGTATGCATTTACTTTTATTTTGTTCGCCGGACGGAGCCCGCTCCCTCGCTCGCTCACGCGCCCCCGTCACCTGCCCCGCTGTGTAAACCATGGCTACCTTGACGCGCACGTGTGCAGCCCTTTTGTAAAGCAAATCCTCCGCTGGATGAGGGCTTCCCCCAGCGCCGGTGCGATGATCATCGGGGGTGGGGGTCATTCGCCGAATTCTCCCACGGCGCCGATCGCTGCCGCCGGTCGGTGTCGGCGGCAGCGCTTTCGACGTTGACGTACAAGCGCACTCGCCTCCGCCCTGCTGACCCCACGTAGTCCCGTTGCCGCCTGTTATTTTTTTTTTACTTTTTAAAAACTTTTACATTACTTTACGCGCTGTCCAGGCTCTGGTTTTGCTGCTTAGCTTCCGAGACGTGATGGGCGTCGCGCGCGCCGGCGTTGCCAGCGCGAGCGACGCGGGGCAAGGGCCGTGGGGGCGTCGCGTCAGCGAGACCGGTCGCCGCTTTGTCGATGCCCTAATTTACGGCAGAATTTCAACAAAAGACAAATGAGGGTGCGTGGGAGGTGGCGTTGGTAGCGGAGGGGTGGGGGGGATGCTAAATTGCAAGTTGTAGTAGCCACCACACGCTCACGCAGGCATGGCACGCGCGCGCGCGCGTTCATTCCGGCTTCGTATCGGTGTCCAAAGCCATTGGCGAAGTCGCGGCACGCCAGGAGCACGACGAGGAGCACGACGAGGACGATGAGAAGGAGGACGACAAACGGTGGTGGCGCGCCCCGTTGCCCGGGCAACGCATTTCGATTGCCTCGCTCTGCGACCCAGTATTCTCGTTACAAAAAAGATGCATTCCACGCCGCGAGAGTGCCGAAATTAGAAACTTGCTCGGAGGCGTCTCTCAACATCGCAAAACGATGAGTACAATTTAAATCAAATAATAATAATTGCCTGTTTTGTTGGCACCTTGTTTTTTAATTACTTCACCCTCATCTCGAATCGGCGAGCGGGGGGCGGGGTGGGCGTGAGGTTGGGGGCTCCAGCACTCTCTCTGCGCTCGCCACCGACTGCTGCCCTCAAATTTCACTCGCAAACAAAAGGTGCTCTCCGGTAATAATTAAAGCGCCTGTTTACTGCCAGTCCCCATCCCGTCATGTAACTCGCGCTCTCTTCTCCCTCTGTATCTACTCAGGAGTGTCGACGGTGGACGACATGAATAACTACGTGAACCAGTACTACACTCACCACGACGACGGAGGTAAGTCGTGTGGCTCGCCCAGCCGGCTCCCCGACACATTCCATGCCCATCGTTTCCACCGGCACATCCGAGCCGAGCCGAGGCAGCGCGGAGCCCTCACCGGTGTAGGCGCTGTTTTTATTTCCTCCAGCTATCTTCCTTGCCAAGCTGGAGCGCGATACGCCCACTGCCAGGACCAGGGGTGTTGTTAATCACCGTGGGCGCCACGTGGCAAGATGTCATCGGTCTCGCCTGATATACTAGAGGTCGTGGGTTCGTTCCCGACCCTGACGCTTGCTGTGTATTTAGAGTTTGCAATCTCTTCCTTCCCGTGGTCATGTGGATTTTTCTCCGAGTCCTCTGATTTTTTTCCCCTCCATATTTAGAATCAACATGCGTATAGGGTATGTGGCTGCTATAAATGTCCACGTGATCATAAGCCCGCTTCGTTGAGCTATCATTTGTGATAGCCAGGTCGCTTCTGAAAAATGAGCTATATAGCTCAGTGGGCCTTACCTGGTAAAGTTAAAAAAATAGCAAAAATAAATTGTAATATAACGTCCGTGTCACTTGTGTGAGATGCAGACGTCAAACGCTCGTTGCAGCAGGCCGGCACGGCTCGGCATGACCCCGGCATGGTTCAGTTGTGCGGTGGAACACAGGCGTTTGTTGTTCAGCGATCGTCGCACCTGCTGGTCCTCCTTTGAGTTTTGGAGAGAATGCAGTCCACACTTTCCACCAACAAATGTTCGAGCCTTTCTGTAACCTCCACTACTTTCAATCGCATTATGGCAGAGTCCACGCGCATACCCACGCACCAGTCTCGCTAATTAATTTTACCCCGCGCGTGTGCGTGTGCTCCCGTGCACTTGGCACCAAGTCTTGTCAAATAAAGCTCTTTGGAAAACCAATAAAACTTATGACACCATAAACTATGATGAATTGCTGTTACAAATAGGATCATTGCCGTATTTGTTGGAATTTGAAGTTTACGAACAATTTAAAAATCGCTCGCGAGGATTTCCCACCCCCACCATCCCCCATGGCATCAGGAGTAAAATAAAACGCTCGCCAGATTTATTCGGGGAAATTAAAAAGCTCAAACGAGATTTCAACACCATTAAGAACAATTCCACTCGCAACAAAAAAAAACCGCACGACCGCCGCCTCCCTCCCTCTGCACCCTCCCTCCATCTCCACATTGCTGCACCCCGAACCATCGCAAATAAAGGCAAAGATCCCCCGTATAGCTTTAACAGACTATTGGGGCAAGTGCTGTTAGCGAGCACCTATGAGCGGGTGGGTGGCCAGCACCACACCTGACCGCCTTTGTATCCCCAGTGGCGATGTATACACACCACAGCCAGGTACTAATTTGAGGCCGAGTCGACCTCGGGGAGGCCCGGTTCAGATAAATCCTCACTGGCATTGGCCGTGAACGAGAATCGAACTCGGGTGGCCGGGGCTCATAACCGCACGAAAGCACACGGACGCACACCCCACCTCCATTACCCGTGTATGCTAATAGCGTGCCTTGCAGCGACAGCTGGGGCGAGGGGCTGAGAGCCTCCCCCCGTACCCCGCTAGGCGGGAGTGGTCGGGGCGGAGGGGGGCGTGCTTGCCCCCCCCCCCCCCGCCGCCAACTTCACCGCAGCGTAAATCTTGTCTCCGGCACATGCCCGGCGGCAATATTCCTGCGAGATGGCTGAAACAAATTTAATAATATCTTAAGCCCCACAGCCCGACTGGGGCAATGCCCAGGCGTGAGATTACGCGGCCGTGGAATAAGTCAGCCGTTTCGCTCCTCCCCTCCACCTCCTCCGCCTTTTCTTTTCTCACCGGCAACGTTGGCCGTTATTACTTACAGCGAGCGCAGGTGCCGTAAAATCACATTGCTCTTTGTTAAACTGTTGCGAACCGTAAAAATATATATACTGTGTTGGTTTTTTTTTTATTTTACAACAAAGGTGTGGGCAATCGACTGCAGTGAAATTGGACGAGGAGCAGGTGTTTTGGCCGACAGCGGTGGAACACGTGGTCCGGTTATCGGGATTAATGATGGATGTCATTATTCCATGCTTGCAGATTTCACCTCTCGACGTCCGTACATAAAATCCCCTCGACAGGTATACGAGTGCGTACGTGTGGGGAGTGGCGAAGCGGCGCTTGGGACGCTGCACTTAAAGAGCCCAACCACCTGAGTTTGATTCCCAGCCACGGGTAATGCCAAGGGCAAGAGGAACATAAAACTGCCCTGCGTCTCCCCTGGAACAGCCCAGCCTGAACCGAGTACCCGCTTGCAATGGTGGGCGGGCGTTGGTGCTCGCCGTACCACAGCCTTAAATGCCGTGCTGGCGTCAATAGGTGCTCGCTAACAACATTTGCCCACAAACAGTCTATGGAGTGTATTTCTCCGAGTGATTATTTCCCGCACCTCCGATTAGGACGGTTGGCTCCGTACGGTGCGGAAGGAGTTCAACATACGTGCGTAGATGTAATGATTCGCGCACTTCCATTATGAGCCACCGTTGAATCGCATTCATCCTCTGGGCTATGCGTATCGGTGAAACGTGCGATCTGTCTTTACCGAACCTCTCCAATGTTAGGACAAGCAGCCTCCTGCAAGCGCGCAGGCAGGCAGGCAGGCAACGGCATCGACCCCGTCACCCTCTCAAGCGGGGATGGTTTGGCTGTTTCACGTTACTCGTGGCGCCAGGGCAGGTGGGAGACCCTCCATTGTTCGTGGGGGACCAGAGATCACTTGAAGGGATCTCAGAAGTAGCTCTGTGAAACCCGCTTCCGCGGGCCATTCTCTGCGAAAGAAATAGCTTCATAGCTCATGGGATTTCTCCAGGAATAAATAAAGATTCCGATTCTCAACGGTCACTCTGCTCTTGCAGAAAAGATTCATCGTCTCTTGACACGTGGCTGATCGCGCAAACAACACACACGACCGCGTACTTGTGTGTATATATATGGTGCTTCAAAAAAATGTTAACTATTACATGGGACTATCGTTTAAAATTGTCAAGGAATGGATAATAATATAGTGTAACATGATAACAAATGTATGTTAATAGCTTCAAAAAGTCAAAGAGTCTCCCACTTGTTCGCCATCGTTGTCAACGCGTGGCCTGGAATCTTCTCCAGGGTGCCTCCAGAGCCCGGAGGCGGCACATTTCCAGTGGTGTAATTGCAAATTCTCAAAAGTGTTCACATTTTTTTGAAGCACCATGTGTATTGCACGTCCTCTGAGTCAAGGGCCATTTTTTTGTTTCTAACAATTTGTGGTGAGAAAGTTGTATTCAGCCTGTGCTTTCACACGACTGCCAACATAGCCTCTGGCATCGCTGCAAAGTGTGTTGGCAGTGTAACCCAGATGGCACAATGAGCATAGGTTTGTGTAAAATAATTTTGTATGTTGAACTTCTTTCGTACCGCACGTAGCCATCCGTGCTAACCCGGAGGTGCGAAAATATATATATTTTATAGTAAAAATTCTAACCGGGTGCTGGCGTGGGGAACGTCCGTGCTGCACGTTGTTCTGTCCAGACGGAGGTCACCGGGACATCCAGCAGGGAGTGGCGGGGCCCTCGGCGGCCACCATCGACATCGACGTCCACCAGCCCATGGGGCCGCGCACCACCACCTCGAGCTACGTGCAGGTGGACGTGCTGCACTACGGCTTCGACGGCCAGGACTCGGCGGCCGAGGGCGCCGACCAGGGCCAGCCGTCGGGCCACGGGCAGCAGGGCCGCTCGCAGATGCCCAACAACAGCGGTGGCCAGGGCCAGGGCCAGTTCCAGTCGCAGTTCATGGGCCACGTGCCGACGGAGCAGATGGGCGGCCAGAACATGGGCCAGCTGCCCTTCCAGATCACCGGGCAGATCCCCAGCCGCATGTCGGACCTGAGCGCCGGGTCGAGGATGGGCGACCCCATGGTGGACAGGATGGGCGACCGCATGGGCGAGGACGACCCGAGCCAGATGGCCTTCCACATCACTGGCCAGGTGCACAACCGCATCACGGAGCCGTACCTGAGCCAGGATCAGACGCACGCCTCCTACCCGATAATGGGCCAGTTCCCCAACAGGATTTCCGAGCAGATGCCGGAGCAGGACGTGGGCCATGGCCTGCGGCAGGCGCCCTACCAGATAACGGGCCAGGCCCCGAACAGGCTTTCGGATCCACTGCTGGACCAAGACTCCAGGCAGGCTACGGGTCAGCCCCAGTACCAGATCATGGGCCAGATCCCGAACCGCATGGGTGGCGCCGACATTCTGGGCCAGAGCTCGTGCAGCGCTTCGCCGCCGTCCGCCCAGCACGAGAAGCTGAACGCGGGCCGGTCGGTGCCCATCTCCACGGGCAACGGCTCGTCGGGCCCGCAGGGCGGCGGCGGCGGCGGCAAGGAGGCCGAGGCGACGGCCGGCTCGTCAGGCACGGCCACCACGACGTACCGCGAGACCTACAAGGTGATCTCGCTGGAGCACCGCAACCTGATCTTCAGCTCGGAGGACACGGCATCCGTGACGGCAGAGCCCAACCCGCACGCCCACCAGCACGCGGGCCACCAGCACTCCGGGCACCAGCACGCGGCGTCGCAGGGGGCATCACGCGGCACCCCGGCGGGCGGCTCGCCGCTGCACGGCGAGCGGGCGTACCGCGGGTCGCGCGCCTCCTCCGTGTACCGCTCGGAGCGCTTCGGCGGCTCGGGCAGCGTGCTCGACTCGGCGTCGGAGATCGGCTCGGACGCCCCGTCGGCGGCAGCGGCGCTGCTCAGCTCGGCGCTGGAGGGGAGGCCCATCCTGGAACAGGAGGTGTGCATCGTGAAGATGCGGACGTACCAGGCGCCGCTGCCGCTGCCCGGCGAGAACCCGGCCATCAGCCTGGCCAGCCTCTACAAGGCCATGGAGGAGAGCGGGGACTTCTCGAGCCTCAACCACTCGTAACCCCCCGCCCCGCGACCGCTGGCAGCTACGTTAAAACAAGCGCAAACGCGTGCCCCCGACGGTACGACCCGAAAATCCGGAGCATCAGGGAACTATTTTTCGGCGGAGACGCGAGCTCCACGCTTTGCCCCCCCCCCCCCCCCCCCGCGCGCGCGTGGTTTTTGATCGCTCGCCGCGGTGACTCGGTGGGGGGGTGGCGGGGTGGGGGGAGGCCGGCGCCGTTGCCCCCCCCCCCTCCTCCACCACGGCGTGCGCACTGCTACCAGCGCCACGGCACGGGCGGTGCCCTCGCGTTTCCACGGCAACCCTTGCATTGAGTGCTCTATTTTTGGACTCGACAGTGACACTACTCTGCACTTCTGCCTTGTTACACGAAATGCAAGGAGATTACTGGTGTCTCTTGATCAAAGCGACAATCAAGTTCCAAAATATTTTTTCACAACTTTTACAACTTCTAATTAATCGCTGGTGAAGAAGCTTGACGCGAGGTTAGGAAGAGTTTGACGACATTAATGAAGCCAGCCCTACTCCAAAAGCGATTTGAAAATGTACCGTTGATTTAATTTGTTTACTTTGAATTAGCGAAGCTGCTAATGGGGTTATGAGGCCAACGAGGATTGTACGATTCTAAAAGGTAAACGCAGCCAGCCACGTAAAGACCCCCCCCCCCCAACTTCGCTCCCCCCTTCCCCCTCATCTCATCCCATCCGACCCACACCCCCGTCCCTCCCTGGAGCTGTCCACCCATCCAGCTCGCTCCACGCCCGACAAGGGGTGGGTGTCGAACGGTCGATAGCGAGACATCACAAAAAGGCAGCTTCACCTGTGTAACGACAGGTTTAATCAGACACCAGGAGCTATCTCTCTCTTTCTCCTCTTTGGCTTTTTAAAGAGGACATTTTGTGACCGCTTTTTACCATGCAATGCACACAAACGCCGGTTTATATCGCAAAGCAAGTTTCGTTTTCAAATCTCCGAGTTTGGAGCAAGAGTTTTTTCTCACTAATAAAAACACGGACGAGCTTTATATATATCTCAAAAAAGTCAAATGACACATACACACACGACACACACACGCACGCGCGACTTGGCGCTGTTTCCGTGTAACAGTTGCATGTATACGAAAGAGCTGCAAAGCCATTCAGGCGAGGGATCTTAGACGTGAGGCTATTTTGTCGGTCTCTCCGAGCCAAACTCGTGCCGCTGCCAGGACAGTTACGGGGCACACGCGCTCGTGGTCCAAGTGACGGGGGCCCCCTCTGCCTCCCCACCCCCCACCAACGCTCCGACACCCAACTCTTCACCCAGTCCCAGCGACCACTCGGTGGGACCGGGTGATGGAGAGGGTTGCCGAGGGCCGGGACGGACGGCGAGGTGGGCTTCATCGCTCGACGTTGCTGTGGCACGCGAAGTAGGCATCGGACGTGAAGCCATTGCCGTTGTCACAAGGTTGCGTTTTTAGTCCAGCTCCTTTGCAAAAGCTCCTCCTCTGCATCCCCCGTCTCCACCCAAGCCCCCCCCCCCCCCCCCCCCCCCGTTGGATTCCCAACAATGTCGCGGCTGCTGAGGAAGTTCGATTGTTGCGTCCGTAGCCACGGTGGGATCACGTTGGGGGGGGGCAGCATGGCCTTGCATTTTCGTTTCATTTGTGTTTCTTAGCCAAACGGCCAACCTGCACCTAACATGCGTGTCTTGCCTCCCCCCCAACCCCCTGTGACCTAACGATGGAATCGTTTTTTGGTTTGCCCAGGAGAGTCTCGCCGAGTCTCAAGACTCATATTCTATGAGACTTGCTTTCGGATGTTTGGCCAATGATTCTTTCTCTGAATAATTATATATATATTTTTGGGAAGTGAGAGGAAACCGGACTGTCCCGGAGAAAACCCACCACATGGATGAGGGCATGACACTCGAGCTCCACACAGATGGGTCAGAAAACTGCTTGCTGTACTGCCTCCTAGAGGCACCACATTATAGCTCTGCACACGGGTGTATCGTGCAGTCTCCAATTCCGTTCCGCTTTTATATCAAGGATCGCGACTCATTAGTTTGTGTTTCACCTCCTTGATTTCCTGTCTCCTCTTCCCACACACGGCACGACCCCACCAGCCCCACGCCATCCAAAGCAGTCCTCTCCTCTTTCACCCCCCCTCCCCCAACCAACCTCTTCATCTTCTGTAAATATTCGTCGGTCCTTCTGTGCGGAAGAGACGGACAGGCGGGCGCGTGTGCGTGCGGGCGGGCGGGCGGGCGTGCGGGCGTGAGCTGCTGACGCATCCCGGGTGTCACGGGACGGCGTCTCCGTCTGCCCGTCGCGGTTGTCGTCGTGAAACAGGGTTAGCCGGGACATATCCCCCGGCACGGTGCCGCCCGCCGCACCACCCACCGGCTGCGTAGCAGGAGGGCGCGATCGCAAAGGTGCATGTGATGATGATGACGACGCCGAAGGGCATGCCATCCCATTGAGCAGAGGCTCACTCTGGCCATCCCCACCCACCCCCGGCTGGTTTAAAATGCTTACATCGTCTGCGCTTTACTTTTAACGAACTCTTTAAGTAACGAGTAAGAGTTTGTTCCTTTCCAAACGACGAATCCACCCCCACCACCTCGCCCTCCCGCCCCTCTCCACACACAGTTGCACTTGCTTTAACTTACTTAGCTTATATGGAATTTAATTTTTTCTAAGCATTGTACCATTATCGGAGTATAAGAGTATAAGTGTTAAACGACAGCACAGTAAATATACGTAATTAAAACAAAACATTACTATAATTTGAGAAAAAAAAGATTCAAATATATATTTAAAAAAATAAACTAAAATATATTATTATAATTTTTTTATTTACTCGATGGGTAACGTGTGACATTCTGAAATGGGGTCCCGGGCCCTGGAGGGTGCACGGTGGTTTACATTACGACTTTAACTTGCGCAAATCGTTCGGTCCGATCGCTCGCCCAATCGCTCGCTCGCCCAATCACTCGCTCAGTTGCTCGCTTGATCGATCGCTCCCCCGATTGGCTCGCTCGCCCGATCGCGATGGTGAACGCGACGTGCCGGGCACAATTGGCACGGGGAGGTGAGTCGGCGTGCAACGCACGCTTGTTGGCTTTCAGACGCTGGCGTTTAAAAAAAAAATAATTCACACTTAAATGGAAGACGGCCAGAGAAAGCGATGAAAATGACTGGAAACGAGGAGGCGGGGTTGGCGGTGGGGGGTTGCCCTCCGGCCCGGTTCCTGTGCGAGGTCACGGTGGTCAGAATTGTGGCCGGCACGGGAGGTGGCACAAGCGAGACAACCCCGGCTGCCGCGGACGAACACGTTTTATCGGACGTTTCAAGCCAACGCTATCGTTCTTTTTAGTTTGTTTCTAAAGCACTAACTCTTACACTCTCATGTACAGTATTTTGAATTAGAGAAGACATTATTATACCCTGATCACGAGCAAGGCATTGTATAAATTTTGTGCACCTAAAATTAAGCCATCTCCCTCCTATGCGTTTGACATTGTACCAAGGTATTATGACATATGTTAACATTTGTGTATGACATTAAAAGTAGGTGTATCCAATTTTTAGGTATGTTGTCTTTAGCATTTAGACATGTCTCTTAAACTGAACGATATTTTCTGAATAATTTATTTGATGTACCATGAAGGAATGAAAGTATTTAAAAAAAATAAAAATTAAAAAAACCAAAAAACTACAAAAAACTAACTAAAGGAAAAAAAGAGATAAAGTTACCATATAGTTTCCTACTATACATTCCTTACACTATTGTATTATTTATATAAAAAAATAATAAATCATTATTATACAATAGGTTACAGTTGTGCCAAAAACATTTCTGCACATCACCCCATATGCCAATATTTTCAAACTCTTGTGTGAACCATGCATGAGTCATCTTGTTAAACCACCCTTTCTAAATAAATCGGTTCAGAAAAAGGCCTCTTGCATACTCGCACAAACGTGTCTTTATGTTTAAATCATTGCTCTCGCCAGTCTCGCGATGCAGACTGCATACACCACGGGCCCCATCCACGTTTTGGTGAAAATGATAATTTTTCCTCATCCTGATGCCTCCCTACATCGTCACCCATCGGCGACGAGGGCTTATTGTCCATTTCGTCGATCTGGCCCCTTGTACGTTAACAAGATCGTGATTTTTTTTTATTTAAAACTTTCGTGACTGCAGGGTTCATAAGGGAAACATTGTTTCCCTTCTACGTGACTTTACCGTAAGAACCAAGAATATAGGATCGTGACACTTGTAATAATCTGGATTAAAATTAATCACGTCCATTTCGCCTAGATGACGATATTAGTTGTGTTTAAAGTAACATAAAAAATAATCGTAAAGGGTGGAGCTAAAGTGACAGGGCTAGTCTCCCACACATCTTCATGAGAATTAAGGACAAGTCAGAATCAGAATCTTGATTTAGACTGGAGGAATCCGATAAGCTATGAAGCTCTTTTTCACAGATGTCCAGACGGCACAGGGAGCGTGCGATTGTGGTCACGTAACCTAAACCGTGGTCCCTACAGTAAACCACTAGTCTGCGCTCCTTCAGCGGAGGAACAGGAAAACTACACAAAATCTCACCTGAAGCCCTCTCGTCTCGCAGACATCGACATTTATCTCATGAACATGCCATGCACAAGAAAATAACTCAATTATTTTTAATATCCCAGTACACATGCAACATTGGGTCAATGTTGTTGGCATGTGCTTGGAGCAGCTGGACGAATAACGTTCCAGCAATGTTCCATCTTTACAGGGGATAGCATCGTTATATATTCAGTACATTTTTTCCCCATGCGAATTGTAATCAACTTCAAGAATGTTGGTACCACATCAAGGTTGGGTTGATATCATCGGTGGGGAACCATTTTCTTACCGAGGGCCGAATAGGACTTTAAAAAAACTTTTGCTTGCGAACCAAACCTTGCCACACACATTTCCTTCATTTTCCCGCACCTCCGGTTAGCAGTTGGCTAGGTACGGTGCAAAAAAAGTTCAACATACAGTACATGCACTTCTGTCACCGTGCGATGACTAGAACAAAAGGGAGAGCAATTGTGTATAAAATATATAATACACTTTAACACAAATAATTATTCTGAATAAGCAAAAATGTAAAGGGACAATAAAAAATGAAAAGTACCAAACGTGTTCCGAGTTTTTAAATTTGCTAATATAAATAAATTATCACATTCTATTAAAGTAGATGGAGAAAATGCAGTAAAATTTGGCAACTGTCAAAAAATCACCAAAAAGAACAAACCCAATTACCTGCGTCTCGACAAATAATTATTCAGTTTACTTTTCATACTACTTAGCAATGCATTAGACATTTATTAACTTCAATATTTCCTGAATTAATTCCAATCAAGCATTTAACAATCTGACAATTCAGCACCTGGCCTGCAAACGGGCATTAGTCTGGCAGTAGGGGGTGATGATTGTTATGTATAATCCCAATTGAGTAATTTGCGGTGCAATTTTACGCATTTTCCAATCTGGATGATGGAAAGTTTCGTATCGACCATCAATTCATCTCGAAACCTGGGCCATTGTGAAATACTGCTCGTGCATCTTGCAACCAGTCCGACTCGCCCGCTATCGCACTGTCAAGCGAGCCGTTTTGAAAAGTTCGGAAAAAAATAATTTACATAATTGGTCCTTGGGCGACGGGACGTCGACCAAGCGAGTGAGCGTACGGCCTGCGTCGTGTAAATTTACTTAAACAAATGTAATTGATATGCTGCACGTGCTTGTGTATATATGCAGTATTATGCATTTCAAAGAGAAGACATACTACTTGTTTGAAAGAGCCCTCCCCAGCCCAGGCTTCCCATCCTGCATCACAAGGCTGAAAGAGAATGGCTGCCAAGTCTGTTTATTTGCTGTTCAAAGCCGCACCTCTGCTTTCTGTCAACAAAGGAACGAGGCCTCCATTGGGAACTGAATTCAAGCCAAGTGCTGTTATTATTTAATGGGTGTCCTTCAAACATCTACTCCAGGGTGGTGGAAATAAGACCGGATACCATGGCCTTTGATGCAAAGTACATAATATATAGTGCTTAGCCCCAGTAAAACTACTCCCCCCCCCCCCCCAGAAGTTTAAGTGAGTAAATTATACAAATCAACACGTTTCAATGAATGAACAAATAATAATGACGTTTGGGAGTCTATCCCCCGTGTATGCGTGGTGGGTGTTCTCTGGGATGTGCCAGTGCCCTCTCACACATTGGAAGCCAAAAAACACTCGTGAATGAAATTGTCCAAACATCCCAATGTAGGGGCAACCTCCTGCAAATAAAGTCTCGAGGTTGTTTCGGTGAGCGTGCGAAGACGGGGAGGAATTGCAAATGTCACATCTGCAGGTACGCCACTCGCGTCCGCTCCGCAAACACTGCTGCTGCCAGCTAGCAGCCCGGTTTTATTTTTATTCCCAGCGACATGAAAAAGCGCCATACGAAGGTGGCTGAGCATACCCCCCCAAACCCTCCTTTTCATAATCAAGTTATTGACTGTCGTTCTCCCCCCCGGCTCCCCTCCCCCACTAGGTTTTTCTATGCCGTCGCCGTCTTTAAACAAGGTCATGCTACAGGGTAGATATGAAGTACTACCGAGCATCCATTTTGTATGACTGCAGTAGCTTAGTGCTCTCATGTTCCGATCCTACTGCATACTGCATAACCTGCTGTTGTAGTTTTTAGTTCCTTTATCCCAAACAGATTGTGTTTTTTTCCCTCTACCCATCTTTTCTGATCACAACACTCGTCGCTCCTCTTCCAGTTCACACCATGCTTTTTGTACGGTGTCGTGTCAAGACGATTTAGAATTGTGAATTTCAAGTTCAAGTTTCAAGTTTATTCTGTTTAACCAGGTGAGAACTCCAGATACCAGGATAATTTCATTTGCAAGGGTGACCTGGGTCACCAATACCATACAAAATACAGTTGAAGCAAAGAGAAATTAAACTAAAAACTGTACCACATGAGCAATCAAAAACATTGCACAAACATATCAATGTTAAATCAAAGGTAGATGTAAAATTCCCTGCAACACAAGGTGGCTGGAGCAGATTATTTTTTATACTGATCATGGTAAAAATAACAAACATTCAGATACAAAAACGTGCAATATTGAACAAACATGGTGACTATGTAAACAGACGAGGATATATCCAACGGAGACCACACTGTCATTTTAATTTCTTGGCGCACCGATGCGCAAGCATTCTTTGTCCTGGCTGCAGAATGTCCGTTCGCCGCTTCACGCAAATGCCGGCTACTCAAAGCGAAAATAATCATGTAGGGGGGCAAGCGCCCGGCGCAAGGGTTCGTATGCCAGGTGCCAGCTGTTTTCCAGATCCTCCTGCCAGGACTCTTGTGGCTCCAGCTCCAGGTCTCCGTAGAAGTTACAAATCCTGGCGCAGTAGCAGGAACAGCATTTTTTTTATTTTCTATATAAGAGTGGATAGTGGTGGATCTGGGTGGAGGGCCATTGCCCCCCCCCTCTTCCCACCCCGCTGTCCGATTCATATTTTACTGATATTTACCAGAAAAAATACTTTCAATGTTTATTATTAATTTAGGGTCTTATTATCTCCCCCCCCCCCCCTGGGATGTTTCTAGATCCACCACAGTGTAATAATGTTGAAACATTTTAAGATTTTTTTTTCTCCAAATTCCAAGCTAAACATTCAAATTGTTCATCAAAATTTTCATCATTCACCATGGGACAATCGACTGTTGGAAAAAAAGGCCCCCTCCCCCAAACCGGCAGAACATCTCACGGCACGCGATGTAAAAACCAACCCAGCACAACTCGAGCTGATTGCATCATTATTCTTGTTCATTATATCACAGGACCGCGAGAAATGGTGGCAGCTTGTGGAGGCCTTCAAACAACAGTTGACTGACCATGGCTCATGACGATGTTACGCACAGGGAATTTGTGGTCAAAATGGTTGAAATTGCAAAAATAGATTCAGAAATATTAATGTAAAAAACAAGTGAAAAAACACATCGTATTGCACTGTGCTTCAAAGAGGAATTCACTCAAAAATCAAGCAGCAGAGCCACCTTGGAAAATAGTCTGGATCCCTCATTGAGGAATTTCTGAGTGAATATTTCTTATCTGGTGAATTACTTGCCGCGGAATAATCATTTGCACACTGGACTGTCGCTACCATCTCCTAACAAGTCATCGGTGCACCACAGCCGATCGGCAAGTCACATGTGGTGGGGTAAAGTGTGGGTACTCCCACCTCTTCCAAGATGTCTGGCCAACGTGCAAGAGTAAGACAAAATATCCTTGGGAGAGCAGTTGTTCTAAACTTGTGGTCCGCCGACCACTGGTGGTAAAGCTTTCAAGTGGTCTGCGGAATTGTTGCGGATAGTTCTGCGGAATTGTTGCGGATAGTTTTAAGAGAGCACCATATTTATTACTCTTTTTACAGTTGATAGTGGGGCCCGGTGGGTCCATAAAGGTTTGGAACCACTGCTCGAGTCCTCTCTAGTGGAGGCTCTTCTGGCAACAATGCCATGAGCAAGATGATTCAGGCATGCATCTTTAGCTTTACCTTTCATTATTTTTCTCACCTGTCCAGGCAGGGCAAGTTTCCCCACATGTAGCAGGTCACCTGCCTGTGCGAGGAGAAAATCTCCACGGGTGGCATCTGAAGGAAAGACAACAGGTGCAGCTCACGAGGATGATAATAGTGATGTCATATGAGGGAAAAATGACATTTTACCAGAATGATGGTAATGTTTGTTATCCAGTCAAGAGCTTCGGGCGATGTGGAGTGAATTTGGGAGATGAGTCCAGGGAATGAGTGGCAATGGAGCATTGTTCACCACTAGTTCCATTGTTGGAATTGTTCACCACACAGTTGCTCGACACAGCAGGGTGGGTGCAGGTAATGCAGGGAGGTGTGAGGATGGGAACAGTGGCGTATTCCACAACTTAAAAAAAACATTCCCGAAAAATGATAATGACATATGGGAAGCAGGGTAGGGTAGTGGTACCACTTGTGCCTCACAGAAAGAAGGACCTGGGTTCAATTCCCGGCCCGGGCGCCTTTCTGTTTGGAGTTTGTTTGTTATCCCCCTGTCCTGCGTGAGTTTCCTCTGGGTTCTCTTATTTCCTCCCAGAGCAAAAAAAAAAAGTAACTGGTATTGGCCAAACATCCCAATGCAAATTACTGAATTGGGATTACAAATAGCAGCAAAAGAATCCCCTACTGCAAACAAAAAACTTGGCAGGACCCTCTGAAAAAAAGTCCCAGTGAGGCTCCCTGGGTGAACAAGTCATAATAGTAATGAAATAAAAATAACGTATGAGTGCGGCACGGTAGAGGATGACTTGCTAGGCCTTACTGCCAAGAAGCGTGATATCTCTTGGTTATTCATGGGGCCACAGAAGCATTCCGCCTCCAGGACCGTGAGCAGCCAGAAGAAGGGCCTGGCACGCGCCTCGTGCTCCCCCGGCCGAGTCATCCGCACCAGGTGGAAGAACTCGTAGAAGAAACGATTCAATGTCTCTGTGGGAAATATTTGAAGAGCGCGGGTGGGGGCGACGTAAGGCTCCGGGCTTCATTTCTCACCTAATGTTTTCTGGGTTGCTCGTAAAAGACTGGAGTAGGTGGCATGTGTCCAATAGCCACAGGCATAGCGAGAGGTTTTTGGTTTTTCATATTATGGTTGCTGACCACAGGCCCAAAGGCCCAACATGCCAAGATGGTAGCAACAAACAGCACAATTGAAGGTGTGATAGATGAGTTAATGCGTTTCTTGAACCGAGCAAGGTTATACGAATTTATGAAAAAGACGATGCGAGGAGGGAATTCCAAAGTGGAGCAGTGCGAGGAAATAAACAGAAAGTAAAACGAGGGGACCTGCAGTGTGGTGGTTGGACACAGTCTGGTAGCCCATGTCCTCAACATGGGTGAAGGAATCAATCAGTGAAGTTCACAGAAACAGTAAGCGTGGTAGTAGTGATAGAAGAGTGAAAGAGAGGTGACTGACAGCCATGAAATGAGTGCTATCCGTGGGGTCGTACCGCCAGTGTCGTCTTCGAGAAGGCAGTGTCCTCCAAGCAACAGCGTGAATGGTCCCCACTGCTGGACCTGCACAGAGCACACAAAACTTTTCACAAACAGCGGCACTCCCCTCTGTCGCACTGCAATTTATCATTTCTGTTATTCATAATAATGGGCGGCTGCCCTGGTTAAATGGTTAGCACACTGGGCTATAAATAGGTAACTTGCAGTCAGTTGATCGGCAGATCGCGTGGGCAATGGGGTAAAGTGTGAGCACTCCCATCTCTTCCAGTATCTCTATCCACCGTGGAATAATAAAGCAGATACCCTCGAGAGCAGTGGTTCCGAACCCCCGGGCCGCGGACCGGTGCCGGTCCGCGGCCTGTTAGGAACCGGGCCGCACAGCTGGAGGTGAGCGGTGAGTCCCCGCGTGGCCCGCCCATTATTTTATTATTTACCACTTCCGTCCGCGCCTCTTTCCCGCACTGCGCACTTGTCTCAGTCACGGTTTTGGTAAGCCCACAAGCTAACCCTAGCTAAAATGAGTAAAAAACAAACATCGCTGGAGAGCTTCTTTGAAAAGGGGGAAGACCAAATGATGAACCCCCCCCCCCGGTCCGTGAAAAAATGTCTTCCACGAAACCGGTCCCTTGGTGCCAAAAAGGTTGGGGACCGCTGCTCTAGAGGAAGCTCTCTTGAGCTGCCGAGAGCTGTCAAGCTCTCTAGAGCTCCCTCTAGTGGAGGCCCTTTAGACAACAGTGGCACAAAGTAATTGCAGGGCTGCAACTTTTACTTATTTAATCAGCTACCCCACGTGCCCTGGATTAATCTTTTTCCTCCGAGGTAAAGTTGACAGATTGTCCAAGATCGCACTTGGAAAATTACCGAGCAAAGACAAAACTAACGAGGGCTCCCCCCCCACCCCGCCAAAGGGCTGCCAATCCACTACTGCTGCTCATTGCTGTTGCCCACTACTCACGTGCTTCCCGGTGATGGTGCTCACGTCCGTGTGAATAACTTTGCCGTGGTCTATCGTGGGCATCGCCTTCATGCGGTTGTTGCTCAGGCGGCACTGGACATGGCGGGCGATCAAGCCCTTGAAGTCTCTCAGAGCGTTGCAGGCTGCGCGGCAACGAGGATCGCATAGACCCCAGTTTGCCGTGCGCGATGCCGAGGAAGAAGAAATAACAATTTAAACAGACGAACATTCAATTACCAAACCCTTACAATAACCATGTCCAGGTTATTTCTAAGTTTTTTTTTCCAATTTTTCCTTGCTCTGATTTCCACTTAGTCGTTTATTTCACACATTTCTAGTATAATAGCTTAATTCCTGTACTTTATATTATCTTATGCTTTTGCCATTCTTATGACTCGGGTCACTCATGTAAATGAGACTATCCTGGTCTTTTGAGTTCTCACCTGGTTACACAAAATTTACATGAATTTAATAATTGTTATTCATACTGTATTCAATCACCACACTACAGGTCACAACACTTCTCTTCCTGCTTCATCCCTTGTACTGCTCCACTTCGGAACTCCATCTCATTATCTCTTCCCCCCCCCTCCCCTAGTCCTTATAATAAACCTGCTCAATTAAACAAATGTGTAGACTCTTATCTATTACAGAAACCTCCGTGCAGATGCACCTGTCAAAAGGTGCAACCGTGGTGAAATCAGAAAGGTTACGTATGACGAGTACTGACCTGCGTTGTTATCATCGAAGAGCGTCACCACTCTGACCGCTGCCTTCTTCGCCGGTACCAGCGGTGGGAGGAGCGAGCGAGGTTCCTGCCCGAACACACGGACTGGCTAATACGACACACACACACACTTTGCAAGTGCCACGACACTAATGACTCAATAAAAATGCACGTTGTACGTTCTGTATGTACACCATTCTTATGTACGTATGTTGAACTTCCTTCCCACCATACGCAGCCAACCGTGCTAATCGGAGGTGAGCATGGTGGGAGACGACAACTTTCACACGGCCCACCTGTCAAGTGTTTTCCAAACACGAACTAATGTCATCAACCTCGGCAGAACCGTAACTGAAAGGCTAAGAAAGGGCCTTCTCAGGGCCATATCAGCAGAGCATGAGACCAAGTCTACGCATCTTCCATTGCGCATATGATCCTTATGGCGTACCCCGGGGTACCAAATAATACAAAATGGCCGAGGCAATTCAATATTTTATTTCTGGGACCATAGTGCATCGTGTACAGCTCGTCGAGATGAGTCGATTGCCGCATCGCCGACCATCACAGACTAAAAATTACTGCATTACGGACATTATGCGAGAGCCGGGGCACTATGGTACCCCGGGGTACTGCCATAAGGTTCATATATAGGCCATCACGTAAGCGCTATGTTTCACAGACAGGTATAGTTTGCCAGTAGGGAATGATGCCACTGTGATTGTATCCATTCAAGTTAAGTCATTTGACCATAATTGGTCATGGTGCTTGGAGAGAAACATCGGAAATCGTGCCGAACGCGCAGTACAACCCAAAAAAGCATCGATGAGCTGTACAGCGGAACATGAAAAGCGACGCAGGAGCACGATGCAACATCTGTTACGACCTACTCTACAATACAGCGGTTTTGCCGATTTTATTCTCCACATTTTCGCAGAAACGTGAGGCTCAGGCGCAGCGCAGTACAAACTTCGGACAATATTTACCGGCGGTCAATTAAAGTCACGGGGACTAATTTATTTTGCTTCGGCGCATATTTATCTTTGCCGCTCGCCTCGTGCCCTCCTCGACTCAGACCATGAAGGCGCCATTAACCTAATGAGCACGCTATAATTACCTATTCTGTGTAATATTTCCTATGCCATGTGACAAAATGTCTATATGGGCACTTTATATCAACCCTGGAGAAGTGATTACAAAGGGACTACAGTTCCATTAACCTCGCATCTTGGTTCCAAATTGCCAATCCAAAGAAACGTCATTACCATTCATCTTTTCGTGCGCACGTGCATTCTATATGTCAACAAGCTTACGGTACCCCCACTAAACTTCTGTCTAATGTTCTGTCGATGAGATACATGAAGAAATAAAATCAGTGAAAATTTCAGAAAAGACGAGGGGACCTCCTAATGACAGCTTGCCTCTGTGTGGCACAAAGGGTGACTCAACACCAGCTTGTCTGCCAAAAAGGAGGCGATGATTGCTATGTTGAGTAAGTTGCAGGTGATCTTTTGAATTTGGAAAATTTGGATCACGACAATGCTGCGGATGCCGCCAAAACCTCACCGCAGCTTCCTTCTGTTGTGTAGTTATAAATAATAAAAATAATTAGGGGCCAGGGGTGTGGAAACTTTCCTTAATTAGGCCTGAATAAGACCTTTAAATACCTTTGTCAAACCACACATTAACACACACCTTAACCTAATCCAATAATAACATACAAAAATAACAAGAATTCACCTTTACAGGTGATAAAAATGTAGTGTTGTTGCAAGATCGAAAATATTCCTCTCAAGTATTCCACTAATGGGTAGGTTACGCAACTTGGAAGTTACGAATAGAACACAGCAAAAAAAGTTGTAAGCATAATTATGATTATAATCAGGAAACGGAGGTTCCACTGTGGGCTTGTTATGTAGCAAGGGAGAGACCTAAAGCCAGAGGCTGGTATACAAGAAGATCAGACCATGGAGGTCAGATCTCGACTTCAAAACAACTATGGGATCGAGCAGAAGGAAGCAAATGGAAGTGGATGCTAACACGTCGACAGCATTAGCCCGCGATGACCTCTCGACCTCAACACTCCAACCCCTGCGTCGTTAGGAGGACTCCCACGTGCTCGTTAACCGCCGGTTGAGGTGGGGGCGGCCTCCGCCCCGGCATGGCTCCAGAAAGCCAAAGTGGCGCAGATCGCACCTCTCCGACGGCCCCTTCGTCGGCGATGAGGTCTCGGAGGCGGAGGGCCCAATCATGGCGGAGGCTCAGCGGGCTGCCGGCCTCTAGCGGCCGGCACAGGTAGCACTGCCACAGATGCAAGGCCTTGGCCCTGCGTGCCGTCCCTAGGCCCAGGAGCCGGTCCATGCAGCACGTGCAGAACACCCTAGGTGGGGTGCGTAGCATAGAAATACACACACACACACACACAGGGATTACTTTTACCCGGGTCTGTTCCGGCCGGCGACACAGAAAATGGTGATGTACGAGTGTAGACCCAACTCCCCTTTCTTGTGAGCTCTCTATCCTTGATTACACTCAAAGAACGCTACGAAAAAACTAACTTGACAAGAGGTCACTGGATGTTACACCGCCTCCAGCTGCAGAAAGGCCGAACATCTAGGAGACGAGGCTTTGGGACCAAAACCTCCATCAGGGAACTATTGTAATTTCTGTCCGTTGAAACGTCCTGAGTGCAACCAGGGTTGGAGAGCTCACAAGTGAGTGGGCTACACTCGTACATTACACCTCCACAAGATTATCGTGTCATCCAGCAGACTTGCAAAAACACTAATTTACCTGACACAGAAAATGTGTGCATGAACGGCGATGGTGGAGCAAGAGGGGTGGGAACCTACGGACTGCAGCCCGCGGCCCAGATACCACACGCAAAGTTAATTTCATATGACCCAATGGCCACTCAAGATCTACCAGTGACTTAAATGCAGCCGGATCTGTCCGTGTTCGGCGACGTGTAAAATATTTCCGTACCCAAAACACAACATCTGGTGTACCTCTCACAATGGCTGCGGCTATCAGTGATGTGCCACCGACTCCAGTCTACTACCAACAACCGGGGAAAATCATCATAAGTGAGAAAAATTAAGCCCTCCATACACGTCCAGGCTGGCAGCCGACGATCGAGCCTGGCGACAGAACGACAGCCAGCGGAGGTGGAAAACAGGGAGATGAATCAATGAGACGTGTCCACGCACAGGAGCGAGGTAGATGTTCCATCATAGGACCGTGTGGAATGGCGCAGCGTGTGGACTCCTTTATCCAGCAGTGAATAAATAGATGGATAGATAATTGCTGTATTTCTGACACCAATGCTGTTGGTTTTGCTCACCTCCAGCAGTTGGCGCTCTCACACAGCAGGATCTCCACCCCTCGGCCACAGATGGCGCAGTACGAGTGATATCCATCGTCAAACAGGTACACGGAGATGACGTAATTCACCTAAACGTGGAGGAGACACACACATGTTACCCAGTGGCAAATTCAAGTGGGGCCACGGGGGTGATGTCCCCCCACTTGAGACCACAAAACATTTGTATTTTATTTATGTATATTTCGTGTTTTTTTTCGGATCTATATTGTTTTTAATGCAACTGATAATTTTCCATAAAATAAATAATAAATTATGTTAATTCTATCATATCAAATATAATCTATTGATTTGTTATAATTATTGTTATTAGAAATGCTGGGCCCTATATAAAAAGCTTGATATTTTAGGATCTCTCCACCCTCCTTGGGAATTTTCTAGATCTGTCTCTGATGTCAGTGCGCGTCCATCCGTCCGTCCGTCCATCTGCACGATCTCTGCAACTCACACAGCCACACCTGACCAAGTCGACTGAAGTATGGTTTAAAAAAAATCCCAATCCATCGAGAAGAGCGTAGACAAAGGGCTGTACATTTACACATGCGTATGCAAGTATGCCCAGTGTTGGACGTGTGCTGCGGACTGGTAACAGGTGCATTCACCTTGCAGCTGAGACACAGGCTGCCAGGGAAGAGCGGGTGCTGAGTGACCACCTTGTCACTAGCGCAGCCCAAGCACAGTTCTGTCCCAGACAACAGAGATCATCGTCAAACAAGATGCTCGACAGTTTCCAGAGATCACAAATACTCGCATTCATAAATAACACTGCCCTAAAGAGGAAAGAAACAGCTAATATTCTGTAGGCAATACCCTCTTCTCTAATTAAGTATCGCAAAAATGTGCATGTGAAAAAAGCCAAGCAACCAGTACACGTGCAGTTCGGAATATTAGGCAGTCTAATGGTGAATGTGAAAATCATCCTTATAATATAAATTAGGTACTTATTTATAGGTTTATGAAGCATGTTTTTTTCCCTACATGAAAGAGATTTGACACACACACACCCTCAAAACTGAGAGCAACATTACCATCCTAGCATGGATGAAAAAGTCAGTTTGTCCAAGTCCGACACCATGGTATTTATGAATTATTTATTATTGATGGGTGTATTGAGTGCTTTTGGTATTTGAGCATTTCTCCCTTATTGAGTTGGACAAATTATTTCTATCCAAGAGTCCTTATTGATTGACATATTACACCCAAGTAATATAATTACACAAATGATTACCCACATCTTTTATTCACCTCATTTACATTTGCAACAACACAAACGTAGAAAAATAGAACCAGAAATCAAGGCATCGCCATGCATGGTCCAGACAAATTAACCTAAAGAAAACAGTTGTAATCATAGGCAGGAAAGATAACAAGAGAGGGGAAGAAAAAAGGAGATTAAGAAAGGTTTTTTTTTTATTTTACCAGCAATGGGCCACTGAACAATGTAGCTCTTTTTCAGAAGCGACCTGGCCACAAATGATAGCTCAATAAAGTTGGTATCATGTTGAAATGTATAGCTGCCAAATTCTCTTCAACGTATGTTGATTCTAAATGTGGAGGGAAAAATCGGAGGACCTGGAGAAAAATCCACACGACCACAGGGAGCACATGCAAACTCTAAACGTACAGGTGTCAGGGTTGAGATCAAACCCACAACCTCCTGTATACCACGAAAGGTAGTTAACATCTCACCACCGTGGGGAGTACACAACGGGACTCCCCACATATTTAATGTGTCATGTGCATCTACACGTATGTACAGATGCTGGAACTCCTCACTTGTGTTTATATTTAGTGAAGGGACGCAGAGCAAGCGCTGCTGTTTGAAGGAGCGAGCTCTGTTCCCCAGGTCGTCATTTCCACTCACTGGCAGCAGTACGGTCGCTCCACCTGTCGGCACGCAAGAGAGCACACCGGACGGCACAGAGGTTCCCTCTGCTGGACCAGGAGACAAAATCCAGGGTGCATATGGCGTAGAAGTGTAACGGTTCATCGATTCACCGATCAACATTTTTAAGCTCACTATACATGGATACGGGTGGAGCAGTGGTGCAGTGGTTCACGCACTACGCTTCTGAGTTTCACTCCTGACCATTGCTAACATCAGTGACGAGTGAAATATGAACGGCACCGTCTACCCTGCTGCCCGGTCTGTCACCAGCCCGTGCTCATCAGCGTGGTGATGTGTGGTAAAACAATCTCCATGGCCAGCACGATGTAGTAGCAAGGGCTTGATTCGGCAAAAAGCTCTAAATTATAAGTTGTATTTTTTATGTGAAAATAAACCCACAAAATGGTCACATTATAAAGAGAAAATTATTTTTAACCTCTAGACTGTGGTTAGTCAACTTTAAAACCAAGGTAACGGGGCGAGAGGTGGCCTTGGAAAAAGACAGATAATGAAAAACACGTACGTTATTATTGTTAATTTTTTACGAAAGTAGAATTCACCACCTGTTTTAATTGTTTTGTAAAGTTATTGGTCACTGAGTCACGAGGAGCAGCAGCTAATAATAGAACCAGTGGGGGTTAGAAGGCGCTCATGACATTGGAAACCAATAATTTCTAATTATCATTATTTTTTTTATTAACAAACACGATTAATCCGCAACCCTGATGATCAACACGGACAATAGAGAGGTCGCAGTATCCGAGGTTGGCGCCTTCACCTGCTGAAGGGCACGGTCGTCCTGCCAACGACACGCCTTTCTCTTCCACTCCGTTCACGGGCGGTCGGGAAAGGGTCACAGTTTGGAGAGGATTCCCACAACCCCACGACGCATCGCCAACTACCGGTGCCTAACGGATCAACAAACAAAGACACACCACCAATATCACACGGGACCTCACAATTAAGGTATTTAAACACTTAGGCTTACATGTAGCAGTACTGCTGCTTGTCCTTGGTCAAGTGACAGTGAAAGGTAAACATTTGCAACAGTTTCACCGCACCTATATTATGGGAGACACATGTGGCCTTCCTGGAGCCGTGAGATTGTGAATGGGGTACTTAAAATTAAGCCAATGAGATGCCCTAAATCCAAGCCAAACGGTAACTCCAAACCAAACTCTACCTCTATTTCTGAGAAGCATAAACCCTACTGTAAACAGTGTTTATAGTGATACGTTGTAGTTTTAAAGGCAAATGGGGTACCATTCAGGGTACAGCTTAATAAGTCTTTTTTTTACTGCTGAATACAGTTCAGTCTTCACAGAGAGACAAACACAGCCATTTCGTTCATTCACTTCCTACCCAATCACCCACAATGCGCCCAACTTCGTGAGATCTTGAAACCGAAGCAAGGTAAAGCCTGAATAGTGCATGGATGGGCAGCCACCATGCACAAAACAGATGTTGCAGGCTGCTGTCGGGCTACTTTGTGGGTAGTAGACAGTGCAACAAGATTATTGTTGTACTCCACTTTGCTCCTGTGTCTATGCTCCCCACCTTTACCGACCCATGCTAATTAGTGTGGTGAGACTTGGTCAAATAACCAAGAGCCGAATGGCATGGGGAGGAACCTCATTCACATGTGGATATTTGATTTATTTATTCAGATCTTTCTGGTGATAATAAACAAAATATGGCTTTATGGGTGGGTGACCAGGACGGCTGCCAAGGACTCAAAGCTGTGAGTGCCACTGAAAATGTACGAGTACATATCACTTTATAATTTTCACACAATTACAACAGATAAAATTGAGAAATTATTAACCATCTCGTGAAAAATAAACTGACTCAATAACCAAAGTAAAAAAAATTACTTAAACATGTGTTGACACTTTCCTGGGCAAAGATTTCAAAAAGTAACTCCATGCTCTCTTTGGGCTGCAGAGGGAGCTGCCTGCTCACAATAACCAAACACGGACACTCCGGCAGAATTTCTCAACTCCAGCCACAACCATTGCGAGAGGATTCCTCCTGATCCCCTTTAAGTGGCGATGGGTCAGAGGCTATCAAAGCTGACAAAACTCCCGTGTGAAAAATCAGAAGGTCCCAGCAGGTGGCTGTGTTTTCACCGCAGTGTGAACCGTGTGTGTGGTGGTGGTGGTGGTGGTAACGCATGGCTGTGATCCAGCGCTTTAGAAACAAATAGACAATGGGCTCAGGCCAAATATTTTACTTGTTGGCATCACAAAATAACAGCAAGACTTAAAAATTATACAAAAGATAAATGGTCCTTATTAATTTAGTTGTCAAATCATAGTCAAGTGGGAACATGCCTGAATTCGATCGTGCATCAGGGCCTTTGGGTCTTCAGAACTGCATGGCTTTGGGGCATCTCGCTGCTTGGCTATAGAAGACCGAGGCTCCACGTGCCTTACTCCGAACCAGCGTTGAGATGCAATCTGTGCAGCATTACCCTGCTCACCCATTGCATCTGATTGGGAAACAAGAAATAATCAAGCACACGCATGGATTGCATAACACTGTCCATACACGCGTTTGTCTTTGGTAGTGTTTCGTTGCCAATGATAATAATAAGAATGGTCGCGCTCACACCAACCACGCAGGAAGCAGTACGTCCGTGGACCACGATGAGACACGGGGCTCGGATAGCAGCTCTGCCGGGGTGGGCGCGCCTCAGCCAGCAGGGCCGGAACGGTGAGGTGAAACCTTTTGGCAGTGGTTTGTGTCTGCATGTTTTGGGAAACCCTTTTTGATAGATTTGACCGGTTTTAAAAAGGGTAAGTCCCTAGCAGCAACATAAAGCTATATTAAAGTTTGGTTCACACTGGATCACCTTTACGGATCATCGTACCCGCCCCCCCCCCCCCCTCGTTACCGGAAGGTTGAGTTTAACAGAGTTAATGCAAAACATGCCATGGATTTTCAAGGTTTCGTCGGCTTACAGGAGCCACTCAATGAAGATTTAAAAAAGTCCCTTGCAGGCAGGAAGATTTTAGCATAACTGTATTCCAAATGTTCGTGTGTCGGGAGAAAGAAAACAAGGGCGAAAATGAAATATCAGGTGACAGATGGCAGGCCATCTTTACGCGGTAATTTACAGAAATTGAACCACCTCAAGCAACTCGGCAACGGCCGAGGCAGGTGAATGTTCACGTTTACACAGTACGTTAATGGTGGCTTCAGCCCAGGTCTCAAATCTGAAATCGTTGTATATAAAGTTTATCATCGATTATCCGGCACTGGATTGTCCAGCTTTTAACATTATCTGGCGGTCCCGGGCTGATCGGGCGAAAACAGACAAAACTGCTCCAAAGGCTGTAACAGTCTGGCAATCGACAGTGTGTGAAGAAAAAAGTGGCCAAGCTTGATTTCAGTATCAAATATTATATACACTACATACAACTTAAACAATGAAAATACTTGATTTAAAGCTTTCGTGACTGCAGGAATCCATACTCTTTGGTTCTTTCGGTAAAGTCACGTAGGTATAAAATAAATTACGACGTTTCGGGCGCAAGTCTGCCTCAGCAGCAGACCATGCTTTCCCACCTGATGATGGACGCTTGTGTTGCACCCGAAATGTCGTGATTTATTTTATACCTACGTGACTTTACCGAAAGAACCAAATAGTAATGAACATACTGCGTGTTTCTACATTTTTTCATGACTAATAACTACAGTAAAACAGAAAAAACACAGTGCGATCCAGCGAAAAGTACGTGTAATTCGGCGTACCGGTCTGAAGGCTGCATCAATCCGGCGATCGTCAAACACACGTTGTTGAAACAAGAGCGCAGTACATTACATCACGCCATTCAGTCGAGATTGGAGTGGCAAATACAGTACAGTAACTTTTTACAGTAGGATATTTATTCGTCTATTTATGTTTATGCCAATTTTATATAGTAACCAAATTTAAAACTCAAAAAAAACATACACAACACCTAAAACACGTTATACACGGATGTGCAATAATAAGCTATTTAAAATAATGATGCGATTATCCGGCGTTTTTAAAAATCCGGCGTCCACTTTTCCCCCAAAGCCGCTGTAAAAATCGATGATCTACTGTAGTACGTAATTCTTTTTTGGTTATTTTTCCAAATTGCATGAAACATTTGAGAATTTTGTTTAGTAGACCTGGTGCAGCTAAATCCAAAACCGCTGGTTGGGATTTTCCTGTATGAATGACATGAAATTCAAGGCGAGAGCGCTGGTTGGCGCAGGGAAAGACGTGAAGCGCTATATTTGTGGTTTTGCAGAAATGACGCAGATGTGGTTATCACTGTTGTTTTTTCTGCAAATATGCATTTACAGGTGTGTCAACCTGTTGTTAATGCATGGCATGGGACCTGTTTATGAAATTAAGGCCTACCTTTTGCTATCAGGGGTTATTTTTCTTGGGTTCAATTCAGGGTTAGACAAAGTCACTGATAGTCCCTTGATCAATCTCTTTGGCAGGTGCCCCTAGGCTGAGGTCGCCACTCCACATTCCCCTCATTCCTTCCCCTATCAAGTGTTTAGGAAGGGATGCAATACTCCCTGCTTCCTCATTGCTTTCCCTTAAGTGCATGTCATTCCGCAATGAAACTAATTTTACCTTTTACATTTTTTGTACGATGTTTTGTAACCCCCTTGAATGGGGTGATATTAATTATCACATAAAACCTTTAAACACCACCTTAGTAGCTCAGCCAAGCTCACAGTTGCAATGACACCGTGAGGCACGGCAGATGCGTGGGGAAGCATTTGTCCATCAGTGGATAGACCACGGTTGATGGTGGTAATGAAAATAACAGGGTTGTTCACACAGCCATCAGGCGACTTCTCAGTATGCAAGGAAATGCGATGTCCACATGTCCTCTGTCTGTCGACACTTCACGTAATTTCAATAAAACTAACAAAACCTCTGAAATCAAGATGCGGAACTTACCACACGGCTCACCAGAAATTGCCCCAGTGCCCAGATCTCTGTTGTTTTTGGACAAGATTGGCAATAAAAAACTGTTAGAAAAGAAACATGTTTCATAAGACAAAGAAATTATCATCCACAAAAAGGCGACGTCATATTCCGCTGCAAAACGTAACAGGACTCCGTTACGCTGTACGCTGCCATCAGCTGGTTAGCGCGTGCCAGGGAGAGTTGGGAGATGATCGCATCCTAAATATTCACGTGATCTGGGGGGTTTGGGGGATGATTCGGGCCAAGGGCCGCCGGAGGGAAGGATGGCATGAGGGAAGATGACGCACGCTTAGGGAATGCACGCTTAGGGAATGGTGGAGGGCACACGTAAGTGGGCAGTTGGAAGTACCGTGGAGTAAATCTATCATAAAGCACTCCAACTTATTGCCTGTTCCCATTGCGATTGAAACAGAAACATTCGTAATTCACGTTGCTACAATGAATCACCGATATACACACTTTTTAGAAAACTCATGCAATTAATCTTTCTGTGCATACTTTTATCTAAAACAAGTTCGCTGAATAAAACTTAAATATGTATGGTTTATCGAAAAAAAGTTGATCATAACAGTTTAACACGTAGGCTTTCACGACCAATATTATTCATAATAAAGCTTTTGGGTTAGATCGCGTTATTTATAAATGTGTCGCAACCCTCCACCACCCGACACGGCCAATCAGTAAAAAATGTGTCACGTTGACAAAAGACAAATAGTTCACTACTATTCTGGCAAATTGCCCGATACTGGATGTAATTACCAGCGAAACGTCGTACTCAAAAATTGTAAATGTTGTGGATTCACTCACACACATTTTTTACTGATTGGCCGTGTCGGGTGGAGGGTTGCAACACATTTATAAATAACGCGATCTAATCCAAAAAACATTATCATTTTGATCATAACAGTTATTTAAATTAGATGTGTAGGTTTTCTCGGTTGGGCAGCATCACTCTTGGATGTGTTTTTGTGCAATACAGCGTGTTGTTCGGCCTGACGCTTTGCTTCGCATGCTGAGAGATTGTCCAAGAACTTAAGTTAGCTCACCACCATAGAATATATAGCATTGCCAGCTGCAGGTGGTGTCTGATGTAAGTCGGCCAATCAGGGAGATCATTCACTGAGATATATCAAGGGAAACACGGCGATCTTTAGGTATTAGGTTGTTAAAATTATGTACACATTTTATCTATGATGATAAACTATTTGGACAAACCTATGTTATTTACAAGGGTAACTTGGTAGGTAATAGAGTACAGCAATTACATAAAAAAACATCAACTATTAAACATGTTAATAAAAAGCATGCACATGCATGGAATATGTAATGCTTTTCAATGCGCGTTTGTCTTCTCAAGTATTTAATTAGTAGTATGAAAGTTAACAGGTAGCTGTCAGGATGAATGCATTAATATATTTCACAAGTGCTTTTTGCCCAGGTTTGGGTCTCCAAGTTAAAAAAAATGATCAATGTGGAAGGTTTTCAACATAATAAGTCCCTATATTCAAATTTTATCCATAAAGTTTTGTTAATATTAATTTTTTGGAACTATAGCGCACCTTCCCGTCACTGACGGAAAAAGCTAATGCGCAAACAATTTGAGGCATAGCTGGAAAGCGTTTAAAACACATTTTAAATGTTTGTAAAATAGAATCATCGGTCAGAAAAGAGTGAATTGATGGATGAAAACGATCATCGCTGCTCATTTGCCACGAAAGCCTAAAACCCCTGCCTGCTGCAGAAACTGGGAAACTCAACAGATGTTGAAATCGGGCATCAGCTGGTGAGATGATGGGCACGTTGGGGCCACATGCACGCGCGAATGAGTCAATGTTGACTTAACTGGTCCTGCGAAACAGTCGCCATTAAGTAAAAAAAATATTCGCTGCCTGATGTCAAAAAGGGCCCATTGCTGCTTGTGCAAACTCACTGCCAAACCGCAAATCAATTGATTCCGTAGAATTTTTGCCCACAGGTTTTAAAGTCTGCAGGCACACTTTGTGTGATATACATGATTAATTATATTATTTTGAGTTTAACGTCAATTTTAACAATAACCCTCCACCACCCGACAGAGCCAATCAAATCAATTTGTCTCAAAAGCAAAAGGCAATGTGTTTTTTTCTTTCAGAAAACCTAAAAATAAAAAGCAAGCACATTTTTTTTGTTTATTTTACGTTTCGCTGGAGATGACATAATTTATAAGATGTTAACACAAGCTCAACTCTTGTGTGAAAGTGTTCCAGATCCAGGTTCGTAAGTAGGTGCCACAACATCAGGACAGCCACGCAAGCAAACCAGTTGAATGTTGGTTGACTGGTTGTGATTGCATGTTAGATGAATGTAAGGTGAATCTATTTACCGTTTGGTTAATTATGAAGATGGACGTTTAATGCTAGTGACTCTAGTTAAGAATTAATTGGTTAATTACATGATTTTGGAGATTAACATTCAGGAATTAGTGATACAGTTTGAAGATTGTCGGTATTACGTTATAATAAATTATCAATTAATTTGATCTAAACAGCTATTTGTTTAATGTACTTATGAATTGAATTTAAGTGTTCAGCTGGCACGACGGCGTTAGTACAATGTTTTTAGTAATGAAGGGGCTATTGAAGCGATTATGAATGTAGTTAAATGTGATATATTGCCAAAGAGATTGGCATCATGAGTCTCATTGTTTATTCATGTTTCTTCCATTTAACCGTCACGTAGTGGAGGGTTCGACTTAGAAATCGACATACACGATCTAACCCAAAAGAAACGATGAATTACATTGTTCGTGAAAGTCTACATATATGTTTAAAAATATACGAGCACTGCCTGCGCATCAGCGTGGGATATAACGCGAAATGGATTGTTTACCAATTACACTTTCTGGCCTACTTTCCATCTACATTGCTATGGTGGGATGAAGTCTATCCATTGCAAGACGCTTGAACGTGAACATTAATAAAGATATGACTATTTGGCATGTTAACAATACCAACATGAATGGCAAATCAATATCAACAATATTAATATCAATACGTGTATACATACTACCAAGACAGCTGTACAACTATTTTACAACTGAAGCCACAATAGAACTAGAACAGCCACAATTAAAACCACATAACCACAATTACCAGACTGTAACCACAATCACCATAAGTTGTTACACATCATAATCACCACATAACCACATAGACTATAAGACATAACCACAAAAACATTCTAAGCACACCACAACTACAACAATATAACCACAACAGCTATATTATAGCCACCATAACCACATTACAACCACCATCTCCACATTGTAACCACAACATTATAAACACATCCCCAATGTAACAATAACTACCATATTAGTCGATAGCATATCCACATTACCTCATTAAACCCACAATCAACACTACCTTGATACACACCATAACCGCATTATACCCAAGCACGTGAGTCAGAATTCAACAAGTATAACCACAACAGCGACAAAGTAACCACAACTGTAACCGCATTATAGTTTGAACCGCAACATTATAATCGCAACCACAACCACGCCCGTTATAACCACAACTTAAGACATCCGCAAATATAACCACAACCATAGCAACCACTCTCGCAGTTAAAATGACAATAACCAACAACCACGGCGCGCCAGCTGGAAGATGGCGCGGAGGAGAGTTTCCCGCCAAACGCGGACTGTACCAACTCGGCCTGAGCGCTTTGCGCTGGGAGGGGTGACGACCCCGGGGCAGAGTTGAATTTTTTCACACGTTTATTTTTGCCCGTTTCAGCACGTTCATTTAAAAATGGTAAAACAAATGCTTTTTGCGCCTCTATTATTATGTTAACACTTCCACACTTTTATATTCGCTTGTGCTCGGCGAGAGATATATTGCACAAGTTTTGCTTTAATGCGTTTGTTCCTCAGACGTACCACTTGGTAGCTCCCAGGGCGTCACTAATGAACGGACAAATCAGAAATAGATTCTGTAAATATATACAGTTCAATTACATTCTAGATAATACATAAACAGAATTGCCTCATTAAACACGGACGTTTTTGCAGTTTCTTGTAATCCAAGTGGTTATGTGCTTGAATATATTAATTAAATTTCGTACACTCCTGAACATGCCCCGAGCGATGAACGTACTTGATGGAGGGAATTCTCAAACACGACAGCCCGACTTAACCAATCCTGGATGATAAATTTCCTCACACGGGTTAAAAGAATGTGCGCGTGATGTTTATTTGCAGTTCTACTTCACAGAACCATTTGCCTTTTTTATTCCACGGTTCATTTACAACTCTAAATATGAGCGCCGCGGGTTTAACGCAAGCCTTTGTTCGCGCGCCAATCTCAGGCGCTCTGAGGCTTTTGAGTTCGCGGCGTTAACATCGCCTCATACGCCTGATTGGGGTTTCTCTGGGAAGAGTAGGCCAATGGATGTCCAAACCTAGAGGAGGTCTAGCATAGGATCGCCTCCAGTGGAGGCTCCCATTCTCTTCCGTCCTTTAAACACTCCGCAAACATGGATTGACCAATGGTCCCGGTGTGGGAACATCCTGAAGGCCTTTTCCCGTGCCCCCGTTTTGACCATACTTCACCACGCTGGTGCGGTGTAGGTTGGTGAATTAATCGGATGGGGACCGGGGAGGGTTTGAAGTAGGTTTACATATCACTCCGCCACTAATCCTTGCTCTGGCCCTGAATCCGTAGAGCATTGAGTGCGCTACTAAACCACTGTGCCCATCGCTCCACCACGTACAAGTAAATAAACAGCACGCCATGACTCCTGTTATCATCGTGACTGCGACATTTACGGATGGAATTCCCTCTCGCGTTAGCCATCCACAACTGGTCTAAGCCTCCCAAAGGTTTTCAGAATTGTGTCCACATCCAAACAACCCACGGGGCGTTATCACTGCACGAGCAAAAGCGTCGCATTTACAGCGCCTCTCCTTCCCCTTCCACCACCACCACCCCCCCCAACTCGGCCTCCTCTCCCCCTGCACAACAAAAAGCCCTCCGACTGTGTCATTCATTCTCAGAAATGTGCCGGCGTGGCAGTGCGTCTGTTTCAGTGGACAATGATTTACTTTGTGCTGAGCTGCAATTTAAGACTCCTGCGATAAGCCAATGAGAACCGTCGGTTTTTTTCCCGTTTGGAAAGGCGAGGGCTGTTACAACGTCGACCTCGACTTCACTGGCCGCGTTTAAAGTCTCTCGCAAAAGGGGCCTTGTTGTTGGTCGCGCGCCGTGGGTCAGCGCACTGTGCTCTAAACCCATGTTTCGTGATTGCCGGCCACGGTTTAACATCGGTGCCGAGTGATATGTGAAGCCCTCCCTGAGCCTCTCCGAATTCACCCAAACCGCACTTAGCGGCATGGTGAAGTTATGGCCAAACAACCAAAATATAACCCCCATGGCCAACACGGTATGGGGGGGAGGGGGCGCAGCCTACACGCAGCAGTGCATTGGCAATTTGCTGCTATATTCTTGGTTCTTTCGGTAAAGTCACGTAGAAGGGAAACAATCAAATAATAAAAATATAAAACAATAAAATTATCACGACGTTTCGACTGCAACACAAGCAGTCATCATCAGGTGTGAAAACCACAACAAGAAAATTTGAATTTTTTTTTCAAATTTTGCAGTCGAAACGTCGTGA